TAATGATCCCAACGTTAAGATAATGCTCGACACCTACCACTTGCAGAGACTTCACGGGAATCTAACCCATTATATCAATGTATTTGATTGCCTAAGAGTGTGACCGTTGAGTTAAATTATCATTTAAATGGTTGATAGGATTTGGGGCCATATGTAGGACACGTGCAGATATCTCAGGTGCCCGACAGAGACTGTCCGGTCGGGGAGGGAGAAATCAATCACAACTATGCGTTGAAGCAAATCAGTCGAGTATATGATGGTTACGTCGGCCTTGAATACAAAAGTGGGTCCATTTGTGTGCTGTATATCTCATATGATTTACAAATATTTATATTTATTCTAAACATTTAGATAAAAGCAGCGATTCTTTCGTGTGGTTGAATCAATTCAAAGACCTTTAAATGAGTCCATGAATGCACTTTCAAGTGTCTACACTAAAGTTAATTATACTTTAAATCTATGCAAACATTTGTTATATTATTAAAATGATTACCGTAATTTGAAATATTTATACTAATAATTGAAATTAAAATTGTTATTCGTTCATGGCTTTCTTTTTTCGAATATTTTATTTTTAACATGAGTTTAGAAGTTATCTTGATTAACATACAGTATATCAATCATATGAAATAAATATTTTTATTTTATTGAATCAAATTCAAATTGATTAGAAAATTATAATACGATACAGTGTTAAATGATATGCATTAAAAGCTAAACTATTAGTAAATCCTTGGGAACATAATTTAAGGCTTAATATAACATTATTTGATAATTAAATTTTAAGCGATACATACAGTAGGTCCTGAGTAGGAGTATTCAGTATACACTCAAAAGTTATCAAATACACCGCATTTGTTATATTTCACAATACATCAAATAAAAACACAAATTAAATGTTAATTTAACTAATTCAATAATAGATCACATTATTCCCAGTTACAAAGTAACTGTCACATACAAAAATGTAGATAAATTTAACATAAATTTAAAGTAAAAAATCTAAAATACAGGTAGTAAGAATTACCTTAATGAATGAATATTCTTTTATGTTGAGTAGAGTTTTACAAAAATGTATAGTTTTAATATTAATAAGTTATTGTTGATAAAAATATTAAGAATATCGAAAGCTGCTTATTTTCATTTTTTGTGAATAAAAATAATTAAGTAATAAATTAATGGCAAATTAAAGGTTCATAATTAGAGTAGGCATGTTATATTGCAATTAATAAAGCATTATTAGATTGTAAATTATGAAAGTCTTCTACAGAATAATGTCTTTTTCTTTATAATTATTTTTAATCAAATCCAAACCTAAAATTATTATAAAATATCATGTAAGTAAGTTATAAGTTGTCATTAAATATAACCAACAAATATTAGGCTTAAATTTACGCAAATTTAGTGTACAATTTTATTTAAAATAAAGTTATTACCGGTATAAACTGTAGAGTTATAATTCATTATAAAACAATCTTATTTATGTGGTAGAACCTTTTACCAAATTCTGTAACAAAAATGAAATTGATTTGCTTTTTATAATCATTTTTAAATCTATAGGTATTTATCATAAAAATACTCATATCTCAGAGTATATTCATGTGATATCATTTCGTTTTGATTTCTTATGAGTTACAATAAAATATTATTATTAGAGAGGATTTTAACCAATAAAAGATGAATATTGGATTAATATATACTCATATCAAGTCCAAGCAAAATGTTATCACTTCAATAGATTTTGAGAGATAAATACTCAAAATGATTATAATTTATAAATGTATGAATCTATGTATTCATCAATATTACAGGCAATATACTGTAAAAAGTTCAATCAGATTTACCACGAATTCTGTACTAGTATAGTTAATATGTTAGTTCAAAAAAGTATGTTTAGCCAAATGATTGAGATTATAATCATATAAGTAGATTCTTTTAAAATATTAAGACTAATATAAAAATAAGAATTGTGGCAATTAATTGCTAAATTATAAATGACTTCATTCATAGTATTGTATAAATAATTAATATTCTTAAGAGTGTTTAAGATTGATATTATCATAATATAAAGAGACTATAATACTGTATATATATATAAGAGGAAATGATTGAAAATAGATTTAATTGGAAATAAATGACAGAAATGCAGTGTTGAGTGAAGTGTGAATGGATTGAAATAAGCGGTAATATGTGATATGTTGTGAGTATATAAAGATCACAGAATAGTATAGAATAGTATATATTCTTATATTCTTATAAATGATTAGTTGATGAGCTTTTCTTCGATAAGCCAATAGGTTTTCATCGTTCCCTTGCCTTTGATGGGTATGTCTCCTCTGGGCTCCAACGCGAATGTTCCGAATAAGTCTAACACAGTCTTAGTCGACGGACTTATGTGAATCTTAAGCGCTAAATGCATTGCCAGTCATTCACAACAATTTCATTGAACAAATTGAGTCAAATATGAGTGAAATATACGGCACACTATGTATCATATCATATAAACAGCACTTACGCTCTCCGTTGCTCTCCATTCGGGAAGCCGTGTTCACCTGAATGTCACACAAATATATGACCAAACACAATTAATAAGCTAATATCATTACACTTCACTCCACATCAACTTAGCAATTATTTTCAATAAATTATCAAAACTAACCGCATCTCCAAACAAACAAAATCGTGGCCTTATATTACCTGTTAATCAATTAAATCTGATTAAGTCACTTCATCAATTAATATATAAATACAATAGAAAATTTAATATAAATTTAATATTATAAATTATCTAATAAATTCTGTCATCTATCGTGTGGTACACAATGTTTGCTACTCTTTCGACAAATTCTGATACTAACCGACAACACCAGCAACGGTCGGACCTATTCATTAAATAAATAGTGGATTAGCAAAGAATACAAGTTATTAATTGGATTGCAGTCATACCGGTGTGAATGCCAATCCTTAGCTGCAGTTTCTCATTAGGCTTATGTCTAATTACAAAGTTTTGGACGTTATCTCTAATTTTTAGTGACATTTTAGCGATTTGTCGGGCGTGCTCTATACCATTACGCTCTGGTAATCCCGAGACTACCATATATGCGTCCCCTATCGTCTCCACCTTTCCATTCAAACAATTGTTTTTAATAAATATTTATTCTCACACTAGTATGCTTGTTATTATAGTGTACAGAATCGTGTAATGATAAATAAATCATAGAATATATTATACGGTATATAGTGTTTAAATTAAAAAAATATTGTACAAATAATTTCAAAGTATTTAAAAATTAATTTTATCTTATTTTCTGACCTTATTTCACAATAAGATTTTATATTATTCCGATTAAAAATAGCATAGAATCTATATTTACTTGTTAATATAAACTATAAAATAGACAAAATACTGGTACAAGGATTTATTAAATAATTACCTTATAAACATCATAGCTTCCTATAATAGTGTCAAAACAAGTGTACAGGTCATTTAAGAAGTCAACCACTGTAGTAATACATATGAATTAGTTATTTATATTAAATATATGAATATAAAAGGTGTTTATACCTTGCATTGGTGTACTCTGAGAGCACATGGACGTAAAGCCTACAATATCACTGAAATATATGGTCACAGAATCATAAAAGTTAGGCTCAAACATCTGGCCACTCTTGAGTTGGTCGGCCACTGGTCTGTAATTTTGATGATATAGTGTTAAATAAGAAGATACTGAATGAATATATTTGAATACTTGGGTAATATCTGGTAAAGCAGTTCTTCAGTCCTTTTCTTTTCTTCTGCGAGTTCTGCGGTCCGACACTCGACTATAGACTCCAATTCGTTGGCGTACTGTTCCATACGCGCCAATAGGTTCTCAGTGAGGGTCGACTGAGCGGCTGATATGCCTCCGACGCCCATCGACTTCATTATTCCTCTGATTTCGTGTTTCATTGAATTGAAATCCGGTCGCATATCTAACTCAGAAGACCAACAATTCTTCATAAGTGAATGCATTCTCTCGTCACACGAATCAATGGGAACGCATGGCCTTAGATTAGATGACTTCACTTCTTTGATAATGTCTGACAAAAAAAGCATTCATTTCAAATGAGAATTCATTTGATCGTAATATTCAACGAATTTTAAATCAAAAATTGTGTTCAAATTGAAATACAGGTCTAATTCCTATACCTTTAGTCTCCATATTCATGTAATGAGGAAAGAATGGCTGTTCTCTGAGAATAATTTCTTGTAAAATAATTCCAAAACTATTGTCAAATCAAATCAAATAAGAAAAATATAATTCAATTCAGATGTCATATAAAATTTCTATGGATTAGAGGAATAAGGAAATAATAATATAGTATTGATCGGTGGGCTATTGATGACCTGTAAATGTCTGCCTTTTGAGTGCCATAATATCCATTGATATAATCTTGAAATTTACACTTCTTTGGATCCATGCACTGACTTTTGCACAGGAGTTCGGGTGCGATATATAAGAGTCCGACATTGAATTCACACAATGAATCCACTCTACATTTGGCTTTCAAATTAATTGTCGACGAATTCTCGGGTATTATTAATTCGGATTCACCAGTCGTTTGATAACCGGCTAATGCTTTGAATTTTCTAAGACCAAAGTCCGTCAGTTTGACACAAAATCTTGAGTCAACCAAACAATTGCTTGATTTGAGTCTTCCGTGATATACATGCTCTGAATTATGCAAATAACACATTCCCGATATAATGTCATTAATGAGTGAATATCTGAAAAGCCAGTCCAGGTTGAGACTGGTGTTGGCCAACAAGTCCCTCAGTGATCCTTTGGCGCAAAACTCACTGAGGATGGCAACCGTCCCGTCAATACAACAACCGTTAAAACGGACCAAATTTTCATGAGATGTTTCGCGCATCTGATTAACAAATACAACAATTTATGCCTTTATATCACTTTTGATTTCATTTATTAGGTTAACTCTCTAGTAATGAACACAATTTCATTGCTGAAAGATCCCTATCATTAATTTAAATTCTTTATGCATTGCAAGTGATATTTGATTTTTGAGTAATGATTGATAAATATTTAAATATTTTGAAACAACATTTCCGCTAAAATGTTTTAAAACTAACATAATATCAGAGAAATGGTTTTTTAGATTTATATAGTAAACCAATAAAATATCAAAAATAATATTGGTTCAAAATGATTGTCATAATAGAAAACTTTTAAATAAAATAGTTAACTAAATAAGCATTATTAACATTTTATCTGAAAAGCAATTGAATATTATTTTATATACATTTTTATTTAGTCATAAGTGTTAGGGAATATTTCTCTCGTTTATAAAAATTTCCAAAACATTTGTAATATACTATATATCGGACTTAGAAAATGTCAAAACATTTCCCTTATGCCTATCAATCAATTCGAGAATCTCTTAAATTTCTATTTAAAAGTTTATTATATATTAAATCAAATAAAAGACTGATTCGACTCGATATGACCTAAAAGTTTAGGCATACGAGGGCTACGATAGCTCTACTGCTAATGTTTAGTAATATAGAAAGATTTGAAGATTGAACAGTACTTAGTGTTCAAAGTAGATTTTATAGTTAGCTATGATTGCAATAAAATAAGATTTGAGTGGAGATTATTAATTGATTGAAACAGAAATCTTTTATCAATTTTCGGCTTTCTATGGAATTATTTATTGATTTTTTTGTTTTCAATAAAAGTGTTTTGAAACCTGAGTGAACCATCCATTTGGCTATTATTGACGATGTATTGAGAATTATAATGAGAGCACAACACATGAGTTATTCGCGTTTTCACATCCATTTCAAGTGCTTTTATGGCCTAATCTTTGCCTATTTATACAGAAATCACTTCTGAATGACATTCTTTGCATTTAATGTGTTCTCGACTCTAATATATTTAATATTGTTTTCATTTCTTTCAAACACTTTTTCGTTTTTATTACAAAACATTGAATTTTTTAATTAAAGATTACACAAGCTAAATTTCAAACTAAAACTATCGGCACTTTGTTTGTACTGAATGTGTAATCAAATCTAATACGAATCGATGCATAGATTAATTTAAGGCTATGTTATTGAAAACAAACAAATCCTATGGATCGTGAATAAACATAAACCAATTCTATGACTAAACAAATAGTGGACACAAAGAATTATGTTTATCTTAAATACAAGAATAGATTCAAATCAATAGTCATTAACAATACGGTCTGAATGTGAATGCAATGCAAGAGTACTTTCAATCAATACGTGAAAGAATCTAATGATTCATGAGATTGGATATGATTTGAGGGAAACTCTTATTCTTATGATTACCTCAACTCAACGTTCATTTGTTACAGAAATGATTGAACAGAATGTAATACAAACCACTTTGAGCTCTAAGAGCAGGTCTCGAGTCAATTCTATGCGCTTCTGCGGTAATCTCTTGATAGCCACCAGATTTCCCTTTCAATGCAAATACAATTAAATACTATTAATGCCTTTAAACAGATTACGAAGACTTCAATCATTTATAAAGTGACTTATTTAGCATTTAAATAGAATTGAATTTTTATTTAAAGTGACTCTAAATAAACATTTGCTTCACTTATGCTACGGTCTCATGAAATGTACGGCAAGTGTGTAGTGTATGGATGTTTGACTTACTTTGTAAAAACCCGTCAGAATTTGTGAATTCGTTTTCGGCGACCAATCGATACTTAAAGACTGTTTGGTGCGGAAACAAAACGAAAGCACTTAACGATTATTGAATAAATATATGCAAAGCTATGTTATGCTCGTATTGTTTGACTGACTTGTCTGTGTTCATTAGGTACCCAACAAACCCATTCCGGTTCCATCCCTTTATGCGACATCTAATCAATACAAACACTTAGAAGTCATTTGTTTTCAAGAGATTGGCACAGAATAAATCATTCAATTAATATAAACTCACTTGACTTGAAATACTTAATCGACTCAATGTACTAATTCCTACGTTATCTGGAAATGTGATGTCTTCCCAACGGACACGCCATGACATGTTTGTCAGCGCGGACTCTAATTTCACTTTTCTATTACACGTGAAAAACAATTCATATTTACATAAATTGTCATGAAAACTAACTATCATATCATAAATAGTACAATACCTGTATATTAGTATAGCAATTGCCAACAAAAACACTAATATTGTCAGCAATGAAGCCGTCAGTATATCCCAAAACGGCAGCTCTGATCATAAATATGTAAAATTCATTTTTATAATTATTAACTAGAATTTGAGCATTTTTATAGAATAATATATATATATAGCTATATATATATATATGTTATATTTTTTATAGCTAGTTATTGCACAAAACTATTAGAACTGATAGCAAGTGACTAAAAGAGCAATGAATTGTGAATAGATTGCAGACCCGGACACAGATCGCCATCGAAGCCACACTCGGGTATATCTCTTGGTTTGTTGCCATTAGGCCAGTGTATGTGAGCGACGCCCACGTATTGGTTCGTCGCACCGAAGTAACGCATCACAACCTATGGAGCATTCATTTCAATCTTATGACTAATTGGTAGAAATTGATCAGAAATTTTCGAATACTTTGAAAAGACCGGATTCAGGATCTGTTTGGTCGAGGTGTCGCACCGAAGTAACGCATCACAACCTATGGAGCATTCATTTTAATCTTATGACTAATTGGTAGCAATTGATCAGAAATTTTCGAATACTTTGAAAAGACCGGATTCAGGATCTGTTTGGTCGAGGAGTGCATAGTCTGCAATGCGATCGCCATCGCTATCAATGGTAACATTGCCTGAAATACCACTGAATGACACGTTCTTCATGCGGGTACCGGAGTTCCAGTCTTTCGTTGGGATTATTCAAAGTGCTCTCAACTCCAGAAATGCCACTCAATGTGGACATCATTGCCGGCACACTGTCCACAACACCCGGGTATTCAATGCACACCAACCTCTTGAGGCCCTTCACTCTACACTCGGCTGTCATTATCTGCAGAGTTCTTCAGTTATCACCCAATCGTTCAAATGTTGTTGAGATTCAATGCACTGTTTGTTGACACCTCTTCACAACAATTACGACAAATGTTTCGCTCAATAAACTTTGGATTCAATTCAAGTGATACTTCGTCTACCATTAGATGATTAATGTGTTGGCAGACAGTGATGGCAACGATCACCTCCGTGTCATCGTGTGACTAACGCAGAGGTTATGAGATAAAGGGAACCGATTGGTGGTAAGGGATGTGATGTGTCTGTGAGTGTATGTTATCTGCAAATGAATCAAATGTTTGTTCATTTCATGTCATTATATATCCAATGAATTCATTATATTTGCATTCATTTCGATCTCTACTTCATATAAAACCACTTTTGGATCCCTTTCCCAAACGGACGATGCGTTTTGCGGCCAATATATCGTCGCTCTTTGAAGACATACCAAATCATATCAATAAATATGAAGAAGTCATCAAAAGGTTGGTTCTTATGGTGTCAGACATGA